AGGAGGGGAGGCCCTGGGGATGGAGGGGGAGGGTGGGGTTTTAGGGATGCAGGGAGGTGGTGAGTTCCCAGAGACGGAGGGAGAAGGTGCGATCCCAGGGATAAAGGAGGGGCTGACGTCCCAGGGATGGAGAGAGGAAGTGAGGTCCTGGCGATGAAGGGAGGAGGTGAGGTCCTAGGGATGGAGGGAGGAGGTGAGGTCTTTGGGATTAAGGGAGAGCATGAGGTCCTGGGAATGCAGGGAAGAGGTGAGGTCCTAGGGTGGGTGGGGGGAGGTGAGGTCCCAGGGATGAAGGGTGGAGGTGAGGTCCCGGGGATGGAGGGAGGAGGTGAGGTCCTAGGGAGGCAGGAAGGAGGTGACGTGCTAGGGATGGAAGGAGGAGGTGAGGTCCCAAGAATGAAGGGAGGAGGTGAGGTCCTAGGGATGCAGGGAGGAGGTGAGGTCCCAGGGATGGAAGGAGGAGGTGAGGTCCCAGGGATTGAGGGAGAGGGTGAGGTCCTAGGGAGGCAGGAAGGAGGTGACGTGCTAGGGATGGAAGGAGGAGGTGAGGTCCCGAGAATGAAGGGAGGAGGTGAGGTCCTAGGGAGGCAGGGAGGAGGTGAGGTCCGAGGGATGGAGGGCTTAGGCGAGGTCCTGGGGATGGAGGGAGGTGGTGAGGTTTTAGGGATGGAGGGAGGAGGTGAGGTCTTGAGGACGGAGGGAGGAGGTGTGGCCCTGGAGACAGGGAGAGGAGGTGAGGTCCTAGGGTGGGTGGGGGGAGGTGAGGTCCCAGGGATGGAGGGAGGAGGTGTGGTCCTGGGGATGCTGGGGCGGGGGAGGTGAGTTCCTAGGGATGCAGGGAGTCGCAGGGAGTTGGATGCTGGGAGGAGATGAGGTCCTGGGGATGAAGAGAAGAGGTGAGGTCCTAGGTGAAGGGAGGAGGTGAGGTCCTAGCGATTAAGGGAGAGGATAAGGTCCTAGGGATGAAGGGAGAAGGTGAGATGAGGCCCTAGGGCTTAAGGGAGAGGGTGGGTTCCTGGGGATGGAGGGAGGAGGTGAGGGCTTAGGGCTGCAGGGAGGAGGTGAGGTCCTAGGGATGGAGGGAGAGGGTGAGGGCCTAAGGATGAAGGAAGGAGTGAATTCCTAGGGATGAGGGAGGAGGTGAGGTCCTAGGGCCTAGAACTTTGGGATGAGCCGGAGTGGACTGGACAGAGGCAACATGGAGGAGCAGTGTATAAGAGTGCCCAGCGTGGTCATGGGCATTCTGCCGTGTCCTTCTGTACCTGGGAATGAGGCCATGGGGTGCCAGGAGTGTGATCCTCCCACCCTAGACTCCCCACCTGGAGGTCGGCTGACATCCGCAGAGAAGAGCCAGTCCGCAGCCTTCCTTGCGTCCGGCCCCACCAGGTAGAACTTCCCAAAGTAGGACATGTTGAACACAGCCGCGGCCCCTCTGCACGCCAGACACTCCTTCTTGATCTGAAAAGTTCCAGGGAGGCAGGGATGCCATGGGGGGCTTGGGGTGTGCTTCCTTCTCCAGAACATGGCAGCTGGGGTCTTCCTAACACACCTGTTCTGAGCCTCGCCTCCCACCCTTCCAGCCCGCACCAAGCCCTTCCCAGCTCAGGGACACACCCTGGCAGTTTCTTGTCGAGCTCAGGAACACTCTCCAGGATGGATCAAATGCTAAGCTGTAAACCAGGCTCGACACGCTCAGAGGGACTAAAACTACACAAAGTGTGTTATTTGACTACAGTGGAGTTAAACTAGAAACGAGTAGCAGGAGAAAAATAGACAAAAAAATCACAAATAAATGGAAATTAAACCACACTCTCTTGAAGAACTGATGAGTCCAAGAAAAATAAATCACAAAGGGAATTAGAAACTACTCTGAAATAAATGAAAGTGAAAACACAACAAGCACTTATGCAATGCAGCTAAAGCAACATTTGTAGGCAAATTTATGTTGTACCTGCCTGTACTATACAAGGGAAGGGGACCCAAAAATTTAGTTCTAAAAGATTGTGTATTGATTCTTATTGTTTAAACTTCAGTCATCTTCTAAACTTCAGTCACCTTCAAAGTACTCTCCATCTGATGCCACACACCTAACGAGACGCGTTTTCCGCTGTTCAAAACAGTGTTTGAACACGTCAATTTTGATACCTTTTAGTACTTCTGCCGTTTTTTGTGTCACCTCTTCCATATCGGCAAAACATTTCCCTCTGAGGACTTTTTTCATTCGGGGAAACAAATAAAAGTCACTCGGGGAGAGATCGGGTGAACAGGGAGGGTGGGCACATGGGGTCATGCCATTTTGGGGTCAAAAACTGCTGAACATTCAGCATGGTGTGGACGTAAATTACCCACCATGAAATGGGCAAACACATTGAAAAAAATCTCCAAAAAAAGAAAAGAAAAATTCACTGAAGCCGAACACGGCCTCTCACAATAATGCTGGGAGATCCCCTGATGCTGACAGGTTCCTAGAACACACACCTAGTGGGGGAAGCCTGTACTACAAGTGGCCCACCCTCCAAAAGATAATTCTGTTTTTTTTGGTCCCCTCTCATAAAAGAAGATCTCAAATCAATAACCCCAACTTTTATTCTGAAAAAAAAAAAAAAAAAAGCCGGGCTCGGTGGCTCAGCCTGTAATCCCGCGCCTTTGGGAGGCTGAGGTGAGTGGATTGCCTGAGCCCGTGGGTTCAAGACCCGCCTGGGCAGGCGAGACCTCATCTCTACAATAAATCAAAAAAGTAGCCGGACGTGGTAGCACACGGCTATAGTTCCAGCTACGCGGAAGGCTGAGGCGGAAGGATCGCCGGAGCCCAGCAGGTCGAGGCTGCGGTGGCCGGGAGCGGCCACTGCACTCCAGTCTGGGCGACAGAGTGAGACTCCAACTCAAACAACAGCAACGACAAAAAAAAAACAGAAAAAGAGCAAATTAAACCCAAAGTAAGCAGAAGCAAAGAAATAATAAAGATTAGAAAAGAATCAAAGAAGCCAGGCTTGGTGGCTCAGCCTGTAATCCCGCGCCTTTGGGAGGCCAAGGTGAGTGGATTGCCTGAGCCCACGGGTTCGAGACCCACCTGGGCAGCTTGGCGAGACCTCATCTCTACAACAAATCAAAAATTAGCCAGGCGTGGTAGCGCCCACCTGTAGTTCCAGCTACTTGGAAAGGCTGGGGCGGAAGGATCGCTGGAGCCCAGCAGGTCGAGGCTGCGGTGGCCGGGAGCGGCCACTGCACTCCAGTCTGGGCGACAGAGTGAGACTCCAACTCAAAAAAAAAAAAAGAAAAGAAAAGAATCAAAGAAAAATAGAGCCACAGGGAAAAAAGTCAGCAAAGCCAAAGGCTGATTCTTTGAAAAATTGACACGCCTTTAGCTAAACTGACAAAGAAAAAAAAGAGCGAAGACTTGAAGTGCTGAAGTCGTGAATGATAGGGGGTGTCGCTGCCCCCCCTTCGGAAATAAACAGGATTTTAAGGGAACACTGGACAACCGTAAGCCAACAAATCAGACATAAAATGGACAAATTCCTAGAAAAGCACAAATTACTGAAACAGAATGAAGAATACGTGGGCAATCTTAATAGAATTGAAACCAAAAAAGAGATAACATTAGTAATTTTAAGAACTCTTCACGATCCCAGGCACAGATGGCTTCACGGTAAATTTTACCAAACATTCAAAGAAGATCTAATACCAATTCTGCCCTGACTTTTCCAAAAAATATGAGTAGGAAGACTCTAGGATGCGAGCATTGCCCTGATGCCAAAACCAAAAATATCAAAAGAAAACTACAGACCAATATCTCTTACAATATAGACACAAAAATTATCAACACAATCCTAGCAAACCAAACCCAACAAAAACAGCAACACAAAGGATGACATACCCTGACCAATGGAGTTTATCCCAAGAATGTGTTGTAGGTTTAATATCCAAAAGATCAATTGATGTAATACACCGTATTAAGAGAACAAAGAACCAAAGCCATATGATCATTCAGCAGATGCAGAAAAAGTATTCTACAAGATACACCTGCTTGTGATAAAAACACACACAACAAACAAGGAATACAAGAAAACTTCCTCAACCTTATAAAGGGAACCTACAAAAATCATATAGTCGCCGGATGGGGTAGCTCACACCTATAATCCCAGCACTTTGGGAAACCGAGGCAGGAGGATTGCCTGAGCCCAGGAGTTCAAGAGCCGCCTGGGCAACTTGGCAAGACCTCATCTCTACAACAAATCAAAAAATTAGCCGGGCATGGTGGCACGCATCTGTGGTTCCAGCTACTTGGAAGGCTGAGGAGGAAGATCACCTGAGCCGAGGAGGTCAAGGCTGCAGTGAACCATGATCGTGCCACTGCACTCCAGCCTGGGCAACAGAGTGAGACCCAACTCAAAACAACAACAACAACAACAAAACTTGCAGCCAACATTATTTTTAATGATGAAACACTGAATGTTTTCTCTCTAAAATCAGGGACAAAGTAAAGATGCCCACTTTCATCACTTGGTATTTAACGCAGTGCAGAAAATTCTAGCCAGGGCAGTAAGGATTAAAAAGGAAATCAAAAACACACAGATTGGGGCTTGGTGTGGTGGCTCATGCCTGTAATCCCAGCACTTTGGGAGGCTGAGGCGGGAGGAGTGCTTGAGCCCAGCCTGGGCAACACAGTGAGACCCCGTCTCTACAAAATGATCAAAAAGTTAGCTGGGCATGGTGGCATGCCCCTGCGGTCCCAGCTATGAGGAAAGCTGAGACGGACAGATTCCCTGAGCCCAGGGGGTCAAGGTTGAGGTGAGTTGTGATTGTGCCACTACACTCCGGCCTGGGCGACAGATTGAGACCCCAACTCAAAAAATAACAATAATAAAATAATCATCATGATGACAGCAACAGCTACGACATCCTGAGCGGTTGCCATGTCAGGAAGCTGTTTCATCTCCTCCCAACCTAACCACCACCCACGAGGTGGGTAGTAATAGCCCATCGTGTACTCAGGTGCTCCCCAGGGGCACAGGGGCAGACAAACGGAGGGCTGCGGTCTGGCCCAACCATGCGGGGGTGCACCAGCCCTGACAGCCAATGGTGGAGATGCCCTCCAATTCCACAGTGGTGGGTTGGATTGAAATCCGCCACGGAGAGAGTATTTCCATCAGAGGGATCAGCCAGCACTACGGACCCGGTGCGTCACCTGGATAACCACCTATGGAATGGTTTCCAACACCCACTGGGACTGTCTGCCCCCCGGGGCCCGCGTGGCTTCTCCCCCTTTAGGGAGCTCCCCCCATCTGTGGGGTGCCTTGGGACCTTCGCGGATGCCGCTAGGGCTGCAGACCAAAACAGGCTCCCGGGCTGGGGAGGTTGCCAGCGCCCAGCACAAGCTCGTGTCTCATCTTGGGGCTGCTTCAAGCGCTTGCGGGGGCCGGATGAAGCCACAAAGCCAAGTTGGCATCTCCTCGAGCTCCCACACCTTCCAGGGCCAGAGTCCCGCAGGCTCCAGAAGCGGTGGGCGGGGAGGTGCCAGACAGAACCCTGTGCGCTGCCCCCAAGGCAGCGTGAGGGATGCGGGCACTGAGCCGGCCCTGCCACTCCGAGATTCACGACACACACGCCTCCCGCTTCCCTTGCAGGAGTCCCCTCTTCCGATGCTTTTCACAGATGTTTTTCCACTAGAGCAGGCTTTGGGGAAAATGGTAGAAATAAACGCTCTCTTCCCTTCAAGGCTGGCTGCAGAATTTGCAGGACCCAACACAAAATAAAAACGTGGGGGCTTGACCGGGTGTGGTGGCTCATGTCCGAAATCCCAGCACTTGGGGAGGCTGGGGCGAGAGGATTACTTGAACTCAGGAGTTTGAGACCAGCCTGGGCAACATAGCATGACCCCATCTTTACAAAAATTAGCAAATTAGCTGGGTGTGATGGTGCTCACCTGTTGTCCCAGCTACTCAGAGGCTGAGGCTGAGGCCCAGGTCAAGTCTGCAGTGAACTGTGATTGTGCCGCTGCACTCCAGCCTGGGTGATAGAGTGAGACCCCAACTCAAAAAAAAAGTAGGGTGTTTGTTCAAAAGGCACGAAGGCTTTCAAGGTGGCAACGGCAGAGAACTGACCCACTCACAGGCCTCAAGGTGAAGGCCCCGGGGACTGCAGATGGGACACCCCAGAAGCCAGGCTTGGTCACATAGGAGTCTCCCCCGAGGCTCCAGGAACCCCCTCATGGATGCTTCTTGGGCTGTTCCTGGGCTCTAGGGACTCCAGACCAAGGACTTGTGGCGAGACTTGACACTGTCTCCCCACTGTGGCAGCAGCAAGTGGTTACCATTTGTAACCACTTTATAGATCAGCTGGGCAGACCAAGTGGATGCCAGCCTCAATTTCCTGGGCTCAGGCGATCCTTCCACCTCATCCTCCCAAGTAGCTGGGATTACAGGCACATGGCACAACACCTGGCTAATTTTTAAATTTTTGGTAAAGATGGGGTCTCCCTGTGTTGCCCAGGCTGGTCTTGAACTCCTGGGCTCAAGCAATCCTCCCACCCTGGCCTCCCAAGGTCCATTCTGCAGCAGCAGCCTGTGAGAACCCTCTCGTGTGGTCCAGACCACTGGAGAGGAGGGCTGTCCCTGAGAGGCGCCCCCTCCACCCTATGAAAGGGGGAGTCAGGCTCTCGGGAGGGTGCAACAGGCTGCCGGGTGTCTCATGTGAGGCTCCAGACCACAGACCTCCCCCAGCCCTGATCTCTTCTACTTGCCCTTTGGAGGGGCCCACCCTGTCCTGAATCTACCTGCAAGACCGTGGGCTGCAGCCCAGGAGGGGGAAGTCCGTTTCCTCGCCAAACCTCAGGCCAGCCCCAGAGCAGAAGGGAGAGGCTCAGAGTGGTGCAGCCCCTGGCCTGAGGTCACACAGCCAGACCCCAGCCGTTGCCTGAACCCCTCTTCCCACGCCCTGCCTCAAGCAGTCATATTTACCCTCCAGCCTGACTGCAGGCAGAACTTCTGCACAGACAAAGCGGGGAGGGAGCGAGAGGAAAATGTCACATGGTTCCCCCTCCAAACTGAGACAGCCGGAAGGGCGGGTGAAGCGGAAGCCTGAAGCCGCTTCTCTTATATCAGGGAGGGGGCATAGGGACGGACTGGCTCCAGGGGCAGCGCTACGCACCGTGTCGTGGTGGGGTGGGAAGTCGAAGGTGTACTCCTTTGCCAGCAGCCTGCGGTAGGTGTAGTTCTCGCCATGTGCCTGGGTCCCATACGCCCCATAGTAGTCGTATTGGAGAACCTGGGGAAAGAGACGCAGTCACTACCCTTCTGTCTTGCACCTCCACGGAGCTGGGACCCACAGAGGCTACCCAAGCAACACGGCCTGACCCTGCCCCGACACGGCATGAGTGGACACAGGTGTAGTCCAGGCAATAGAGAAGTGAAGCCTTCAGGCTCGGCGTAGTGGTTCATGCCTATGATCCCAATGCTTTGGGAAGCCAAGGCGGGAGGATCGCTTGAGCCCAAGAGTTTGAGAACGGCATGAGCAACACAGCAAGACCTCATCTCTACCAAAAAAAAAAAAATCAAAAAATTCACTAGGCGTGGTGGCACACGCCTCAGGAGGCCGAGGCAGGAGGATCACCTGAGCCCAGGAGATGGAGGCTGTGGGGACTTGTGATCGCGCCGCTGCTTTTCAGCCTGGGCGACAACGTGAGACTGCGACTAAATAAATAAATACATACATAAAATAAAAAATGTGTACAGATATGTTTAAAAAGCGAAAAGAGTGCCGGGCTCGGTGGCTCAGCCTGTCATCCCGCACCTTTGGGAGGCTGAGGTGAGTGGATTGCCTGAGCCCGTGGGTTCGAGACTCACCTGGGCAGCGAGACCTCATCTCTACAATAAATCAAAAAACCAGCCAGGCGTGGTAGCGCACGCCTGTAATTCCGGCTACTCGGAAGGCTGAGGCGGAAGGATCGCCGGCGCCCAGCAGGTCAAGGCTGTGGTGGCCGAGAGCGGCCACTGCACTCCAGTCTGGGCGACAGAGTGAGACTCCAACTCAAAACAAAAAAAACAAAACAAAAAACAAAAAGAGGTGATGCCTTCATCTCCATGGGGGTGGGCTGAGAGCCAGGGACCTGCTGGGAATCCGGGAGGCCGAAGGAGAAGCGGGGCGAACCCAAGGTGGAGAGTGAGGGGGTGGGGCTGGGCTGAAGGACCTCGGGGGCCACGGTCAGGGTTTTCCACCTAGTGCCAAGGCTGGAGTAGAGGCTGGGATGGAGCTCATGGAGAAAGCACGGGTTGTGGGGCGGGGGTTGGGGCTGTCGCCATGGCAACCCAGGGACCAGTCCCCACTCCGGCCAAGCCCTGCTGGAGGTCGTGTCCCACACTTCTCTTTTTTTTCTTTTTTTTTTTTGAGTCGGATTCTCGCCCAGACTGGCACGCTCCCGGCCACCACAGCCTCGTCCTGCTGGGCTCCGGCGATCCTTCCACCTCAGCCCTCCAAGTAGCCGTAACTACAGGCATGTGCTGCCACGCCCGGCTAATTTTTTGATTTATTGTAGAGATGAGGTCTCGCTGCCCAGACGGGTCTCGAACCCGCGGGCTCAGGCAATCCACTCACCTCAGCCTCCCAAAGGCGCGGGATTACAGGCTGAGCCACCGAGCCCAACTTGTGTCCCACACTTCTGTAGAGGGCAACCCTTTCTACAGATGACAAAACTGAGGCACGGAGAGGTTATACCTTGCCCAAGGTCACAGACAAGTCCCCAGCAGAGCAGCGGCTGGAACCGGGCAGGCATGTGGGCTCCAGGGTCTGGCCTATCATCACCTCAGCACCCCCTGCTCTCTGCCTCTACACCTCTCAGACACCTCCCAACCCCACGTCCCTCCTGGCCTCTGCTTCCGTGATGGCCCTCCCTCCTCCTCACCTGCCGCCTAGCGCCTACACAGACACAGGTGTGAACAAAGGTGCAGGCAGTTCTCACCTCCCCAAGCTGCCACCCCGCCGTGAGCCTCACCTCCTCTCACGAGTGAGAGCCGGTGTGAGGCTGCAGCTGAGTCAGGCTCCTCCCTGCCTGGAGTCCTCACCCCCTCACCGGGCAAAGCTCAACAGGCCCGTGAGACCCTGGCAGGGACACCCTGCCTGCCACAGCCTTGCCTGCCAAGGCCTCAGGGATTTTGGGAGGACTCCCAGAATGGCTGCCGGGTGGGGGCGTGAAGTCTGCCCATTCTGGCCTGGAGCATGCAGGGAGAGGGGCCTCCAGGGCCAGACCCCTCCAGAACGCGGCGGCTGTGCGTAAAGGAAGGGTCTGACCAGGCCCACCCTCCCTGCAAGGTCCCCAAGCACCAGCAGGAGAAGGGACAGTGACAGGCGTGGCTCTGAGGACCCCTTGAGCCGGCTTTGGTTCCCACCTCTCCTAATGGTGCCCTGAAGTCTGGGACTCAGCCTGGGCTGTGGTTGCCATGGGGATGGGAGGGGGGCCACCGAAAGGGGACTGGGACAGGATTTTAAATCCTGTCAATCTGGATCAAAGGCTAGCACTGGACTGGCCTTAAGCTTTCAGCTCCTGAGGGCCTAGTCCAGGAGGCCCGGAGCACCCAGAGGCCCAGGACGCCGTGATGCCAGAGTTGGGAGTCTGAACACGCTGGCTGCACCAACCCGCCCACCACCTTCCTCCTACAAACACAAACCAACAGTTGGAGCCGCCAAAATTAGATGCACAAAACAGAGAGAAGAGACTCTGGATCACTTCTGCAGCCTGGGGGGGGGTCTTGCACTCTCTCCCCGCTGCGGTATGCCCCTCTCGCTCTGCCTCAGCCCTCACCCACATGGGCTGTGGAGGTCTGGCCGACGTGGACGCCCAAGGCCGCACTGAGCCCCAAGGTTGGCAGGGCTCGGCTTGCCGTGTGCAAAGCAACTCACCCACCTCCTGGGGTGGCCGCCAGGGATGAGGGGCGACTGTGGGTGACAAGGGTGCTACTCACCGGAGCCGGGCCTCGGGGGTGGAACCATCCAGGCCGCTCCCAGCCGTGCCGCTCCTGAAACACGCAGCCTTGTCCTAGGAGCTCCTGGGGAGGGGGCGGAGAACAAACATCCTTCACACAGAGGCAGACACCCTGCCCAGGGCCACCACACCTGCCTCATCACACCCAAGGGTGCAGAGCCCAGAGAGGCCCTGGCTCTCCAGAGCCAAGACCCCAGGTCAGGCAGCCGGTCCCACGCCAGAACTCCCAGTAGCCTCCACCACCTTGCCCTGAAAGTCCCCAGTCTAGCCGGGCTCGGTGGCTCAGCCTGTAATCCCGCACTTTGGGAGGCTCAGGTGAGTGGACTGCCTGAGCCCACAGGTTGGAGACCTGCCTGGGCAACTTGGTGAGACCTCATCTCTACAATAAATCGAAAAATTAGCCGGGCGTGGTAGCGCGCACCTGTAGTTCCAGCTCCTTGGAAGGCTGAGGCGGACAGAGTGAGATTCCAACTCAAAAAAAAAAAAGAAAAAAGAAAGTCCCCAGTCTGTAGAATTACCAGCTGCTGTGGACGAAATTGCATCCCCCCTAAATTCATACATTGAGGCTCCAACCCCCAACGTGACTGTATTTGGAGAGAGGATCTTTAAGGAGGCAATTAAAGTTAAATGAGATTATCAGGGTGGAGCCCTAGTCAGTCCCATAGGGCTGGTGTGAGAGAAAGAGGCTGGGCGTGGTGGCTCATGCCTATAATCCCAGCACCTTGCGAGGCCAAGGCGGGTGGATGGCTTGAGCCCAGGAGTTGGAGGCTGCGGTGAGTCATGATGGTACCACTGCAATCCTGCCTGGGGGAGAGATGGAGACCATGACTCAAAAAAAAAAGAAGGTCATTGCTAGGCCACTGTGGCCATTGTCTTGGTAAACTGTGGCATGGCCGTGTGCTCTTTGAGCGATGACCAGACCGTGTTTCCCAGCTTTAGCCCCCTCCCCTACCTTGGGGAGGTGAATCTCCTCTCTTTCTCTAATTTACTTTCTAAATAAACTTTATTTTCTAATCTAAAAAAAGAAGAAGAAGAGGAAGAGATGCCAGAGCTCTCTCTCAGCTGTGTGACAACACAGCAACAAGGCAGCTGTCTGTAAGCCAGGAAGAGAGCCCTCACCAGGAAATGAATCAGCCAGCATTTTGATCCGAGACCTCCCAATCTCCAGAACTGTGAGAAAAAACAATTCTGTTGTTGAAGCTACCCCACCAGTGGCATTTTGTTATGGTAGACCCAAGAAACAAATACCGTATATGACCTAGCAGTTCCACTCCTAATTCTACCCAAGAGACCGAAAGCAGACTCTCAAACACATACTGTGCATGCACGTCTACAGCCACACTGTGCACAATCGCCCAATGAGGAACAGCCCAAGTGGCCGTTAACGGATGATGGATCAAAGAATGAGGTCTATGGGCACAGGGAAAGTGTTCAGCCATAAAACAGATGAAATGTCAGCACATTCTACGGCAGGGGTGTCCAACCTTTTGGCTTCCCTGGGCCACACCAAGTAAAGAGGAATGGTCTTAGGCTGCACATAAACTATATAATGTAGTTCGTGCATACACATAATGAATATCTTTTTTATATTTTTATTATAAAGTTTGGGAAAACATAAAAATAGTGGGAATTTTGACCTTGTTTTTATAAAACTAGTCTGTCAATGTCTGGTTCAATGGAAGTGGTAGCAATTCTTCGTGTGTTCTCGAGATGCTCGTCGGAAACATGTGTTCAAATTTTGCTCTTAGTCATAGTTGAAAACAGCTGCTCATAAATGTTTCGCTGCCAACAAGCAATGTCATGAATAAGGCGTGATTGTGAACTTCAAAAACGGAACTACACGTGAGGTCACAAGAAAACACATGATGACGGAAGACTGTGGGGCCGCGTGACTAGCTATCCTGGCCACGTGCAGTCCACGGACTGTGGGTTGGACACGACTGCTCTACCGCATGGAGAGAGCTTGAAAGCATGCGAAAGGAAAGAATCCAGACACGAAAGGTCACATTGTGTCTGAGTCCTTTATATGAAGCGTCCCGAACAGGCAATCCACAGAGACAGAAAGCATATTCCTGGTCACCAGGACTGGAGGTTTCGGCGGGAGATGAGGAGGAACTACTGAATGGTTACAAGATTTCCTTACAGGGTGACAGAATGTTCTAGGACAATGTAGAGGGGATAGCTGCACAGCACTGAGCGTCCTTAATGTCACTGAATCGTGCGCCGCACGACGGTTAAAATGTCCATTGCAAACTTTACCACCATAAGAAACACAATGGGCACAAGAGAGTTACGGAGTGGCAGATTTCTTTGAAAATAAATTGGGTTTAGAAAGAAAAAAAATTAGAACCCTCACTCTCAGGTTTGGAAGAGTCTTGACCAAGGGCCACCCCATTCTGACTGGCAACAGGGCTCAGAGCCCAGGGCTGGGAGGTCTTGGAGGCTGCATCTGGCCCTGATGGTGCAAGTGACTTCGGAACACAGCTGCATGTGACCCCCAGGGAATGAGCACCTGAAGTCACAAAGCCAGCAGAGTGTCACCCGATATGTCCTCACTGCATGTCAGGATTCGAGGGGAGTTATTGAGGGCACAAAAGTCACCTGCCTCTCAGTGAATGATGGGACACCCCCAGGGTGACCTTTCCAAGGACGGAAAATAATAGCCTCAAGATCCCATCAAAAGGGAGCAGTCTCCTCTATTTAAAAAAACAGAGAGAGAGAGAGAGAGGCTGGGTGCGGTGGCTCAGGCCTGTAATCCCAGCACTTTGGGAGATTGAGGTGGGAGGATTGCTTGAGGCCAGGAGTTTGAGACCAGCTTGAGCAACATAGCAAGACCTTGTCTCCACAAAATATAAAAAAATCAGCTGGGCACGGTGGCGCACACACCTATAGTCCCAGCTACTGGGAGGCTGAGGTGGGAGGACTGCCTGAGCCTAGGAGGTCAAGGCTATGGTGAGCTGGGATCATGCCACTGTGCTCCAGCCTGGTGGACAGAGTGAGACCCTGAGGAAAGAAGGAAGGAAGGAAGGAAGGGAGAAGAAAGAAAGCAAACTCAAGTGGCTGTTAAGCATCACGAGAAGGATGCTGACCAGGAAGAGAAGTGATAGTGGGCGAGCTGAGGTTTCCCCTGGGGGCCAAGGAGTGTGCCAACCCTCACCAAGTCTCCTGTGGGTGGAGCTCTTCGGTGACGGGGAGTGTGTCAAAGCTAGCTGCCAGTCTTGCAAAGCCTGTGTTCGCTCAGGGAAGCTTCTGTGCTGTCGGGATGGGCAGGGGGCGACCATAGGCCTAGGGGTGGCTGGGGAGATGGCCTGAGACCATGGCTGGCCCACCAAGTCGGGCCAAGGGACTACCAGCCCTCGGACTCCTGAAGTCTCCAGGCCTCTCTCCCGGGGTCCCTCTGGCATCCAAGCACTGGAGCCCCCCGGAAGGAAGGCCCCTCCTCCAGTTTAAATGCTACCTGCTCCCTAAGCCATCCCCTCCCACCTTCCCCTCCATCTGTGCATTCAACAAATTTTCCCAAAGCACCTCACTGCTGAGTAACCAGGGTGACTAGGACACAGCCCCTTTCCCAAGTAAGCAAAGCCCATCCAGCACAAGATGACCAGGGAGGGGAGAGACAGGAGCTGGGGGCCTGGGGAAGAAGTGCTTGGATCTTCGGGGACCCAGGAGAGCATACAGGGGCAGATTTGAGGGAAGGACACCTGAGAGTGGGTTTCATCGTATAAGTAGAAGTTCATCAGGGCAGACAATCATCCCCAGCCAGCTTCACCAGCGGGAGCCCCTCTCCTCAGCACACCATGTCCTGGCTGCTTCCTCCCTGAGTGACCACACACGTCCACCCTGCATGTACCACCCAGAACACCTGCCTGGTAGCACTACCAGCCATCAGGGAGGGCTCCTGGGTATGGGCTCTTGACTCTGGTCTCCTCCACTGGACCATAAGCCCCCTGGTGGGAGGGAGCCATTTCCACCCTATTCCCCGAGGGTCCCTAGCCCTAAGCATGGTGCCCAGCAGCTGGGGGTGCCGGGTCACGACCCAGGGGATGAATAGCACCCCTGGTCACCTCGCTGCCCTGTACTGGGGGGTCTGCCTTGTGTCTTCGCCTGCCCAGGGTCCTGAGGAGGTACCCAGCAGGCGCTGGTGGGGGCAGTACCTCGTGCAGGGGGTCCCTCCGCATGTTCCGCCCGGCCAGTGGCTCGTCATGGGGGAACACGACCGAGTAGTTCTTAGCGTAGGACTCGTGGCTGCGCTCCCGGATCCAGCGCTGGTGGCCCGTGAGCGAGTGATGGAAACGTCTGTGCAGACAGAGGCCGCGTCACTGCTTTGGGGACAGCCCATCGAGAAAAGGCCGGCCTAGGACCCAGGGCACACCTGGACCCCGTCCCCTTGACCAGAGGACTCCCCCATCCAACCCTAGACCTTGGTGAGCCCAGCCTCCCCCCGTGAGCCCACCCCTCTGCGATGGCCGTCACAGGTGGACACTGAGGTCACAGGGCTGACCAGGGTTCTCCTCCTGACAGGGACCCTGGGCTCTGGCCTTGCTCGAGTCACATGTCGTCCAGCGGGGAGGAGTCCTGGGCACCTCCCGAACACCTAGGGGAGTGAGTGGACCCCTGGGTGGGAGGGGACAAGACAGGGGCTCAGAAGCCCTAGTGATCCAGCGAGGGTTCGTGGGAAGGCTCTTAAAAGTTTAGGGTTGGGACAGCCCTCTTGGGTCTCCTCCTACACTGGGAGCTTTTCGGCCCTTTCAATAAATCCTGCTTTCTCCAAAAAAAAAAAGTTTAGGGTCTTCAGCCAGGCACAGTGGCTTCCACCTGTCATCCCAGAACTTTGGGAGGCCGAGGCAGGAGGATTGCCTGAGCCCAGGAGTTCGAGACCATCCTGGGCAACATAACAAGACCTCATCTCTACAAAAAATCAAAAAATTTGCCAGGTGTGGTGGCATGCGCCTACAGTCCCAGCTACTTGGAAGGCTGAGGCGGGAGGATCGCCTGAGCCCAGCAGGTCGAGGCTGCAGTGAGCTGTGAGCGTGCCACTGCACTCCAGCCCGGGTGACAGAGTGAGACACCCAACTCACACACACACACACACACACACACACACATACGCAGACAAGAGTTGAGGGTCTTCCATGTGTTGGAATGCGAGTCCCCAGCCGGGGAGCCCCATCCTCACCATCAACATCGTGGCCAAGGTGAGAGCAGCGGCCTGCCCTGTCAGCTCCCCCACCCCGTCCAGTCTTCAATTTCAGAGCCGAGCCTCATGTCTGGGTCAGGCCAGGGGCCAGAGAGGTGCATTCTCTGGGAGAAATCCCGGCTGTGCGTGGGATTTCTGCAGCTGTGTGCTCCGGCCCCTGGGACCAGAGACGCTGTGACCTGGATAGCTTTGGGTCTGTCCCCTTGAGGCTGGGAACACCTTGTGCAGCCACACCAGCCCCTCAGTGGTGTCCAGCCCCAGTCGGGTGAGCCCCACGCTATTTCTCCCTGAGCAAAGAAACTTTAAGGCCACACCTGTGTCCCAGGCCACTCCCACTGCCTCCGAGGGGCAGCTGAGCTGCCCCATGGCATGGCCTGCTGCCCCCCTCAGACCCCAGCAGCTCCCAAGCCAGACTGTGCAGAGCTGGAAAGGACAGCTGGGAAGGTTGAGGTGGGAGGATTGCCTGAATCCGGGAGATGGAGGTTGCAGCGAGCTGTGATGGTGCCACGGCACTTCAGCTTGGGTGACAGAGTGAGACCCCCCAACTCAAAAGAATAAATAAGCTGGGCTCGGTGGCTCAGCCTGTAATCCCGCGCCTTTGGGAGGCTGAGGTGAGTGGATTGCCTGAGCCCGCAGGTTTGAGACCCACCTGGGCAACTTGGCGAGACCTCATCTCTACAATAAATAAAAAACCAGCCGGGTGTGGTAGTGCACGCCTGTAGTTCCAGCTAATTTGAAAGGCTGAGGTGGAAGGATCACTGGAGCCCAACAGGTTGACGCTGGGG